CCTCTCCTCTTACAGCCCCTTCTCTTGGGCAAGATTCATGTAGCTATATATTCAGGAAAGAAAGTGTTGTGTGGTAAGGAACCTTAAGCTACTACTTTGTCAAAATGTAAACTTCTTTCTCTTAAGAGTGGTCACTTAATCAGGTGATGGTCTATTTGATCTCACTGACATCTGGCTGAGGCATGGCTAGCCTTTTGTCTCTGAGGAACCTGTCTGTGATTGTCCGGAACATGCTCTAGGTAATGTCATAAAGTAGACTGTTATATCTTTACATGCTATTTTCCCCTCACACATTTTTCCCCAGACAATAATGATCAGCAAATTATGAGTTTTCAAATGATACATTACATTCTGTACAAAGCATACTGTGTAACAGTCTTGCAAAAGGGATGAATGTAGAGTTACAGATGATCACAGTGGGCGATAACTCCATATTTTCTGGTTTTCAATTGTTTGAGTTGTGAACTCAGTGTTCTGGAATGGCACAAGCAATCACAGGGCAACCTTAATTCTGTGCTTAATGGCTTAAACCATTAATAGCAGCATCTGTCATGGCTATTATCACTTGAGACCCCAATATAACATAAAGGACCACAACTCTCTTTCTTCCTCTAAATATTCTGCAATTCCACATAAAATGGAAAAGGAAGCAGTAGTAGCATGAATCCATGCAAAGACAGTCATTTCAGAGCCAAGGTTGGCTTTCTAATGGGGAAGCAAAGGGATGGATCACAGAGCATTGGTGGGTTCTGCCCCTGCTGCACCAGCCAGAGATCTTTGCATTGAAGCAATCAACCATGCTCTTTATTTACAATATGCTTTCCCACCATCTTCTAGCTAGTGATGCTTCATATTCTAGCCTCAGGGACTAAGAGGTCTCCTCCCTCTAATTTGCTGGTTCTTCCCCTTCCTTTTCACCCAGTTTCTTTCCTGCCAGCCATTACATAGCCCTGCTAACAAGGCTGGCAGCTACTTCCCTATCACAGCTGGTCTTAGTTCCAATTCCCCTTTCTTGATTGTAGCATACATGAGGCATGGCTCAGATTTCCTTAGCCAGCAGCCTATCCCAGGAAACCATAAGAGCAGTCATGCAGCCCTCCCCAAACAATATGTTGTGTGCACCCAATGCAGCCAGCAGAGGTAAATCACTGTGGGGCAGGGGCAGGAGAGGAAGGGAAGCTGATGGTTCCTACCCTGCACCAGGGTCAGATGCTAGACCCGGCTGAGCTGGGAAGAAAGGGACTTCCTCTCCCTCTGTGCAGCATCTGTGGGAGGGCCTGACCTTCCCCCAGATTTCTTTCAGGGCTGCAGGAAGAGCTTCTGCACCTATTTCTTCTCAGCTGTCAGGGGCAGGATCACTGTGTGGGGAGTATATTTGCAGATCCCACTGCTGATCTCTGCTCCCAGACTATCCTGACAAGCCACTTGCACCCAGATCCACAACCATCTGCATCCATATACCACTGAGCCCCACTCCCCTGGCACCTGGACCCACCCCCAAACTTTCCTGTGAAGCTATCTCCTCCATACACATGTTCTGCCCTGCTGGGCCCCAACCACCTGGACCCCTGCAATACTATTGCACCAAGAACCCCCGCCCCAAACAGAACAGCCATACTGGGTCAGACCAACTGTCCATCTAGCCCAGTATCCTGTCTGCCGACAGTAGCCAATACCAGTTGCACGTGCAGAGGCTAGGGACACCATCCCTACCCATCCTGGCTAATAGCCATTGATGGACCTAACCTCCATGAATCTAACAGGGTTAAAAAAAGTGCTGAAGTCCTCATCTTCACCACATCCTCTAGCAAGGAGTTCCAGAAGTTGACTGTGTGTGCTGAGTGAAAAACTTCCTTTTGTTTGTTTTAAACCTGCTGCCTATTAAATTTCATTTGGTGACCCCTAGTTCTTATATTGTGGGAAAATAACTTTTCCTTATTTGCTTTTTCCACACCAGTCATAATTGTATAGACCAGGGGTTCCCAAACCTTTTGACACGGGGACCAGTAAATCCATTCACGAACTTTTGGAGGACCGGTAATGTTAATTTGCATATTCATTACTCAAATGATGAATATTCCAATAAGTTGTTTCTGGTCCTTCCAAAACCCCCAGTGCCAGCTTTAGCAAAGCTTTTGATATGGTCACCGACAATATTCTTGCCAGCGAGTTAAGGAATATGGATTGAATAAATGGACTGTAAGAGACAGAAAGCTGGTTAGATCAGGGTTTCCCAAACATTTTACTTTAGTTGGAACCCTTTTTTTTTTCAAAAATATAAACACATAAAAAACAAACTGAGAAAATACCAGACATATAACATGTCTGGTATTTTCTCATTAGGTAAGTTGTATTATTACTAGATGTATTAGTTTGTAGTTTCGAACTGCCTGGCTGGTAAATGTGCTCAGGCTGCATGAGTGTGTCTACCAGCCAGACAGTTCTCAACTACTCGAGGGGCGTGTGGGGAGGGGCACAATAGAATCCCCAGGCCGGACTCACTCGTGTTTGGGGGGAAGGGGAGCAGCGCCCCACGATCTGCATATGGCCGGGTCAGTCCCGCTCCCCGCTGGCCGATTTGCTCCCCCCGCTGCACCTCCGGCCAGCCCCACTTCCCCCAATCCCCTCCCCGACAGCCAGTTCTTCCCCGCCTCTCCTCCCAATCTCCCTTGGCCCGTCCCC